CGCGAGAGACGTTTGCGAATGTCGCGACGATTTTATTTATACGCGCCGCAAGCCAACCAGCCGCGTCTCCACGGCGGCGCCGCGGCGCAACAGCGAGAGAGAGAGAGAGAGGGGGGGGGGGAACGAAAGAATGATGGAAAGAAAAGTGAAGAAGACGCTTCGCATATTCCCGCCGTGTACCGATGCAATTCGTTTCGCATTTTATATCCGGCCGCGAGCGATCTCACCTTGTCCTGCGAGGTCCCTCGCCCCCCTCGCCAGTTGCGCCGATGCGTTTCGAGTACGCACGTTCGCCCGATTCATCCCCGTGGAACGACGGTAGGCCTGGATTATTTCGATCTTCGCTGCCGCTAAAGTTAGCCGAAGAGATTACCGCGGCGCGACACGATTTCATCCACGGGAGGAGAGGAGAGGCCGGATTGTGACGCGACTACGTCGTTTAAATATCACGGTAAACAGGGCCCGCAGTAATTCGGATGCCGGCGCAGGTGCCACGCGGAAACATCTATCAAGATGGCGAGATTGGGGGGTGCAAGACCCAGCCCCATTCCCCGTTGGGAGAAAGGGCGGAAGGAAGACAGGGTGGGGTGGATCAACTCGAAGAAACGGGGAGATCTCTCTCCTTTCTCCGTCTATCTCTCTCTCTCTCTCTCTCTCCCTCTGCCTCTCTTCGCGGGACAGAAAGGACTAAGCTTTCACAGGATGGCTTTCCACGTCGTCTTAACCCTTTCCGGCTAATACCGGATCGCAGGGAATTAACGGTCGCGACGACGATCGTGTTCTCGAAAACCTGTCCTCGAAGTAATGCGGTTGGCTATCTAATAATTTACGAGTTCTGAAAATATCCGGGGAAACTTTATTGAAAAGCGATTGTCATCGCAAACGAGAGAAATTGGAGGAATCCTTGGAATATAAAATGCAGCTTCGCCAAGCTGCATAGATCGCAGCGCCATTTTTTCTGCACCTAGCGCTAACTTGTAAACTTACATGCTTCTGTTACACGGCGTCACTTACGAAAGCTTCAAGAATAACGCGCGATTGCTTCGCAAGTTTACCAAAAACAGTCCGACGTAAGAAAATTGATTTAAATGTAGATCGTAATATCGCGAAAGCGGTATCTACGATTTTTTTCTCTCCTCTCGGATAACAAATCGCGGCGAAATAAGCTACACTTTACCGTGTAAAAATTTAGCGAGCGTCGGAAATGTTATAATTGCTCAGAACTTTGTACAAAATAAAATAAGGACTTGAGAGAAAACTAGTTCATTGTGCTAAATGGATTACTGATTTCTGTGCTCGTACACTGACAAAAATTTTTTTTAAGCTAAGTAAATAGATTTACTTAAAATTTTTTTACTGAAGTGAGTAATATTTATTCTATTTCAATAAAAATATCAAATTTCTAGTAAATCTGTGTATTATATTAAGTAAATTAATTTAAATCATTACATTGTCTACATTCAGTTAAAGATTTCATGAGACAGAGAATGCTGTTTATTAAATGAAATCATTGTTTTTGTCAAATAAGAAATCCAAGTTTCTTCGCTGTAAACTTATATCTTAGTGAACATTTTATAGAATTAAGGTAAAATTTTCTTAATTTAAAATTATCTACTGTTTGATATTTAAGAAATACTTAAATTAAAGAAATGCACGTTTTAATTTGTTTATTATTTTTTAAACTTAAGTTAATAAGCTATTAGGAGCCACCTAATGAATAATTTTCTTGAGTAAAGTAATTTTTTTTAGATTAAGATATTTCTTTTATCAGTGTAATAATTAACCCGGTTGTTGAATAAGCAACGGCACAATGTAAGACCACGTAAGACTTTGTCAACGTTTAATGAAATTCCGAAACGCAAAGAAACGCATACTTGAATTCATTATGACGCGTAATGGCCGCGGCGCAACAATTTATTGATTGCCGCCATACACGCTAAATCTCGCAGACTATATTCCTAGATTCGTAAATTGCGAATGTACGAAAAAAACGACCGTAAAGCGTCGGTGCGTTATCCCGTAGCAATCTCTCGCGCACTTGTCTTTTTTTTTCCGACTCGTCATTTTTAACTGTCTGTACACAAACGTTTCGTAATCAACGTGTCTCGTTCGTATCCACTACGGTATCTGCGAATTGCCTACGTTAATGGTAAACGATTTGCGGGCCGTAAATATGCGTCCCGGCCGTTAACGTAATCGCCAGCACAATCGTGCCGCAACTTATAGGTCGCACCTGCGACGACAGCGATGACGTCTTCACGAAATGTCTGCGAACGTGGACGAGTCTACCTGGTGGGTCGTAGGAACGTTAAACATTTCCGCAACAAGTTATTGCCGTCGCAAAAAAATCTCGAGATAACTAGCGAGAGTACTCGCGAGATAACGGGAGGCGAAGATGGCAGCGCGATCGGTACCTCGGCTGCTATCAAGCCATTGCAAACGTTTCGAGCATTGCGCCTACCGGTATATAATAGTCATCGTGGCAGAAAATATGAAAAGAGCGCAAGTATCTCGGAGCGAAAGAAAATTTCGTAAGAGACAGGAAATTGCGGGAACGACCGAGAAAGAGATCGCCGAGAGTGCGGTCGGGACTGACGATCCAGATACGAAAATCGTAAAGTTGCTGTGTAATAGTGTAATATCCAGCACGATACTCTTCGCGCCAAGATTAAAGGTGCGTAAAGCGAACGGGGCGCGTAAACGTTTTACAAGCTCTTCAATTCTACAGCTACGACCAGCGCGAGCGGGATATTATTTTAAACGCTACATTACATCCGCGTGATGCGTCTACGTTACACTGTTTCGTTGTCAAGGTGCATTTATATTATTGGAGCACGAACCAACCGGAGCAACGGTACATTGCAATGTGTATAATTGAGAGCGAACAAATTCGTTCAATCCAGGCAAAAGCGTCGTTTACAATATGAATCTACAAAACGGCAAAGCCACGATGCGAATTGCGTGACTTCTGGAAAAGTGTTGATATCTCGTCGAGATATCTCGCACAAAGAAAGCAGCGGAAAAAATGTAACGGCTAACGAAGAAATTCTTCTGTGATAGCGCGAATACTTGCACGGATGAACGAACGATTCTATTATATAACGTAACATAAATGCATCCTTTCGTTTCTACTTGGCTCTGTAAAAATGCTCGCCACTTCACATCACCGACGAGAGACAGTAACAAAATCGTACGTCAAATTTGAGCGCAAAGTGAACTTTTGCGCAGCCAAGCAGCGACGATCTATTATTTTCATAGAGCGTAACAAAAGATCTCTAAGGCAACCAGTGTGCATTTAACGCGAAAACACGCTGGGGAAGAAGCATTGTGTGTCACGAATGCGAATAAATCGGCGATCGTGGCTAGTGAGCCGAAGATCCGAATTGAAATCCTATCAGAAGTCGTCGGTTTTTATTCGATCGCCACACATACCCCTTCAGGAGTCTAGTCCTGCAGGTTTGAGGTTTCCTTCGGCAAAGGATTAGCAGCCTACCGAATGATGAAGTAAAACCAAGAGTATACCAGAACGAACCGGATAGACAAGCTTTGAGTCTAATACACGAAGAAGAAGAAGAACGCGAATACATAAATCACGCGGGAAAATGCGAGGATTACTGCGGTGTATTGTGTCGTAAAAATTACGTAACCCGATATTTCCGATCGATGACGACGCGATCGTGGCAGAATGTTTCGAGCAACGTAACGATCTGGAATAAATTTCGCTCTATCGTCCTCTCCGCCTCTTAGGCGTAACGCGGAATTTAGTGCCGACTCTATATTCTTATATAACGATGATTTTATAACTCACTGGAACTTAAGAGCAAACGACAATTAACGTCTTCTCTGTGCATACGTTCTACATTTTATACATACTTTTATACTTTTATTTTACGATATGAAACTGCTCGCACAGATTGCAAATATTGTACGATTTCATTTACTCTTCTCTTATCCCTTTCTCTAAAGACCGTTGCGACCAATACTTGGCTAATTTTTGTAACATACGGTGGAAAATGAATTCTTCTATCTTTTCTATTTATAGAAAGCAGTTATCTTAATTAGTCTTTTAGCACGAAAACACTGATTAATATATTATGTAATTCTTGCAATTTTATAGAATTCTTCATTTCTGCATCAAAGCACGATGGCGATCCTGGCTCTCACGAATACAAAATTCGTTCATCGAGATTACGTAATCGGCGCAATGCAACGAGGGAAACGGCCAGTATCGATGACGCACGGCGTCAGAGCGAATTAAATCAAAGTCGGGGCACTGCAGTTGTAATCAGCGCTTCCTTGAGGTCACGGAAAAACACAAATTACGGAAATCAGCCCGCCTGTTTGACTCGCTGACACGCATACGCCTACCGCGCCGTTTGTACTCGCGTGATTGGCGCGCTGAAATAATCAGCTCGTTGCAACGTCAACGTGCAATCGCTGGTGCCGAGCCCCGGTCGTGCACGCCTCGTTCCGTTTGATGTACGGGCGTAATTTCAGGGTGTCTGGAATTCGCATATGACACGTGCGACGTGCCGTATGATTCGACGCCCGTTCGCCGCGCTCTCATGCCCGCCGGTCTAGAAAAAGTTTCTCGCTCGGCACGCATGCAGCGAGCTTTCGATCGTCGTCGCTTGGGAAGACTCGATCACGGCTGAGAGATAAATTTGTTTACACTTGTGAGCACGCAAAAGTCTGAATATACCCTATAAAATATCCGATTATCGCAGTTTTTGTCATGACAAATGTTTCTAGAATGAAATACGTTTCGCGTTTTTCAACAATGCACTTGCAATCTGCGGTGTGCACTTTAGATTTCTTCAATTATTTTCAACCGCACGTATTAAAATTAGAAATGACAATCAAAAATTAACAGAGCCGCGTATTAAAAAGATAGTAACTTTCCATCGATTTCTTCGTGAAAGCTTCAAAGTGATATGCAATCTTTACGCCTGGCGCTTATTACGCGCGGTAAAATATCGTGTGTAAGACAATGCACTCACCAGTTGTTAACTTGGAGAATCGTCAACCCCGTGTCCTGTGCCAACTGTTTTTTCTGGTCTTCCGAGGGGTATGGATGCTGCAAACAGAAAGAATAAATCCGTTTCATTAGAGACAAAATTATCAACGACCTCGCATGCTTAAGTAACCATTAATGCCTACGCAGGTCAAAAGCTCGCGTACCAATTAGAACGAAGCTACAACCTCAGAAAGGATTTCTGTTACCGAGACAAAAAATATTCTTCACGCATTTGTATTTCTCACAACCTCACTTGGTGTGAAAATAAGACGATATCAAAATAAAATCAATAATTCTTATTCTCCTCTATCGAATTAAAAATAAGACAATCTCAAAATAAAATCAACAATTCTTATTCTCCTCTATCGAATTAAAAAAGATTGGCTTACTATATCGAGACAAGAGTAAGTTTATACATTTTTGCGTTTAGAATAAATTTTCCCTCCATCTTACATCGCACCAGGTCTTACATGGCACCGCGATATTCGACAGAAGACGATACATGCTATCATTTTATTCCAGATTTTAGAATTTTTCCATTTCAGATAAAAATATTCCTTTCTCTAAATATAATTGGCGCTATATCGATCCTACTTTATGGTACATTGAAGAGTAAAAGCATTGGATCCGCACATTTTTTCTGTGGGTATACCAACGAAAGATTGCAACTGTTAGTTCCAGAACGATCACATTGAGCGCAACAATTATCGGGCATAGAAAATGCGAGAGTAAATAAAATTGTCCTTTTCTCGGTCTCACTTTATCACGGCGGGCTTTCAAATAATTTATCGAGTGATGTATCGCACACCAAGGTAAGTACGTAGGAGCAATGCATCGCGCGCGCTGACTTTTATCTGCGCGACGATCCACGCATTACAGGCGCCGTATCGTCTAGATGCACCTGCGAAATATTATTTATTGCTGGCCAACAACAATAAAAAAAAAATATACAGGCGCAGGAGGAGGGCGAGGAGGGGGCGGTGAAAGAGACAGCAGCGCGGCAAAAAGTTCCTTTTATATATCGCGCTCTCGGACGACTGCTTTTTATCGCGCGGTTGCATCGACGCAGATGCACTCGTGCCACGCCAAAACGATGCGCCAAGCGCGACACGCCGCGCCCGCTCGTATTTGCCCCTCTTTCGTAAAAGAGAAACTGCACGAGTGCACGCCGAAGGGACGCGAGAAGGACATTGAGGGAGGATCGGCAGAGAGTCGCGCGATTTCAAGCTCAACTTGAATATCGCTGTGAAACAAATTGCTGTAATGCAGGAGGGAAACGAAAGCGCTTATTTAGACAAAAATGTCAACGAATTGAACGAACCGTGGGGGAAACCGCTGAGGGCATTGTGGTGTACAGATTTGCGGTATTGCTGGGCATTAGTTTGGACATTAGGCCTTGCTGGGGCATTATAACGATAAAATAAGATAAAATAAGATAATAAGATAAAGTAATGCCAACTGGGCATCAGTGGGCATCGGTGTACAAGATTTTGGCTAGCGGTTTCCCCCTCGGAACGAACCAATGCGAAGTACGAGAATAACTAGCATTCTTTACATATACATGCTTTCATGTATCGTTAAATCTTTGGCGCTGTCTCGTGTCCATCGTAGGAAATTTGGATAAATTATAACGTTCACCGGATATTCCATCGATCTTGCGCCATGCAAGCCTATAAATTCATGCAGCGTCCTAGCCGTTCTTTCGGAAAAGTTACTGCGCGCATTAATATCGCAGTCGCGGCAAGAACCGAATCTTTCCGATGTTGTTACGCAGTCAACCCCGTGCCAAGCTTCTAAAAGATGTATGACACGCACACGCGACATTGCGCACCTGCATGCCACGTCAAGCCCGGTATCTTTTTGTTCCCGCATGATATTAACCTTCGCCGAGTTCAAATGCTCCTTTTTGAATACGTAACGCGATATCGGCGCGGCCGCGTTGAATCATTTCTTTCGTAATAAAGCCCGAGCCGATTCCTCCGTTGACGTAGTTTCAACAATCAGCGGCGCGTATTCAAATCGTCTTCGCTTCATTATTAAGGAACGGGGAATTAATTAAACCAAATGGACTGGTTTTCGCCAAACTTGAACGGGATAAAATCTTCGCGGTGGGAAATTGAACGATACCCATACCCTACAGGGCATTAAAAAAAATTGTGCACGCGACGTACAGAAGACAGTCACCGGCGCTCAATTACATTACACCTAGCGAGACATATTAATTTCGCGGGCGCAGCCACATCTCAATTTTAATCTCGCATTAACCGCAATTATGAAATTAGACGCACGTAATCGTCACAAGTAAATAGTCCGCCGACAGTCGCGTTCCCAATGGAGAACCCCCTCCCCCGCCCCCTGAAGACTATCTATCCGCGACACGCGAGGGTCGTGTTAGTTAATTTTCTCGATGCACAAAGGAAAACAAAGTCTCCTCTCGACTTCTTCGAAAATTACCTCGTCAACGATCGTCTCCCGTATCGTTGCTCCACGCCCAACCTCTAAGACACTAACAAACGGGAAGCATATCCGAACGAATATGCGCATTTATTACGCGACCCCCCCCCTCGCGATATTAAATTCAATAGAAAATCAACGTTACGCAACGAACAATGCTCCGTGCCAAATTATCGAGCGGCGCGAAAAGATCCGGCGAGGCATAAAAGCCGGCGGCTGCATCGCGGACCGCATCATATTTTTACATAATTAGCACGTGGCGCCCGCGGTATTACGTCCCCCCCCCTCCCCCTCCCTACCTCCCCCTCGCTCCCGATCGTTACTTTTTGCCGAAGCTTGCGGTATTTTTGGACACCGCCGCAGCCCACAAATCCATCCCCCGAGCCCCTCCGCGACCGATGCTGTATCATGTTTCTTGGAGGCGAGCCACGGTATACATACATCAGAAGCGTAGCTCCGTTCCCCACCCGCCAACCCCGGTACACCCCATTGTGCGCCGGTGTATATCCGATCCGAGCGATTCTTATCCTAATTAAATCGGCTGAGCGTATTGTCTGGGCGTAGAGTTTCCATCGGATCTCCGTGGATATCTAACGCCGCGTATAAAGCCGCGTCGAGCGGAGAGGATTGAGACGATCGCGCGGGGCCCCTCCCCCCCCCCCGCGAAGGGGGCGATCCGAGGCGAATCGATGCGCCCTAAATTGCAGATCCGTCGACACGATCGACACGCGCATGTGCCAGGGCGAATCGCGGCGACAGACCGATTGGCGAGGTGTGCGCGAAAACTTGATTCGATCGTCGAGACTCGAGTCGGCCGCGTGTATCAGTTAATTTTCCCTTATTTCGCTGACGTAGGTGACGAAAAGTTTGCGCGTCTCACGACAAGTTGACGTATTTACGCGGTTTACCGTGAATGCGGCGCGCGTATTATTTTTAGCGCTGTTGAAAGCACCGCGAAGAACATTGTTATTACAAATTTATAAACGGAAGGCAATAGCGATCGCCGGTGTTTTTTGCACTCGCGTTTGTCAATGACGCTGCTAAACGGTTTTGAATCGCGGAGATACGCGACGTTTGATGCGACGATATTACAGTTTCTCTTTACGGCTCGGCCTCTCCGGAGATAAGTTGCTCGCGGGTTCGTCGGTGTATGCATAAAACAATCAAGATAATTGTCGAAGCTATGTGGGGACCGCCTGGCTGGCTGGCTTTCCACCCTCCGCGCGATTCGAGATAGCTGCTGCGAGCGAAGGAGGAAGCGACGGTTGAGGGAGGGAGATGGAAAGCAGGAGCTATCCAATTACATTGAAAACAATAGTCTTAAGTGCTCGTGGCGGTCCGTTCTGGGGCTACCCCCAGCCCCTGTAGCGCCGATGCTTTTCCACGACGGTTTCTCGTTCCAGGCTGGAACGTTATAGTCGTGGCGACGCGCACGTTTGATTTCAAAAAGATATCGCCCCAGCGGAACACTACGTCGTGCAATATATACTTTTCGCCTGTTTCCCGAAGGCTTTTCGTTACATCGTTGCGTAATGTCCGTGTGCAAAGCTGCCTGTCGTATTACTTAGTTATATTCAATACTCGGCTGAATAATGCGCACGTATTAACGAGGTGTACTTCCGTGCAAAATTAGAACTTGGAACGATATTACTAGCGGCACCGATGACGAAATGGCTCGTCTGGCTCTGAATCTTCATCGAATACAAATCCGAGATGAGAACGAGAGGAGGAAGAAAGGCGGGGGCGACGAGAATGAAACGCGCCGCGCTGCAAGAGCACGATTCAGTGGCCAAACAAGCGATAAAATGAAAATGAGCGGTAAAAAGACAATATGAAAACCATTTGGGTTTTCCCGAGGGCTGGGGCAGGAACGAGCCAGGCGGAAGCGGGGCTAAGTGTGTAAATGAGTCCGTAGTTTAGCCCGATTGCCTCTAGACGACCCCTTTCCGCGGTGCGCAAACCTCATCCACGGCTCGCTACCCTGATAGCAGCACCGGTATAGCTGAAATAACCGTAGTCTTCCTGAGGAGCAAACTGCTCCCTAAGACAATTCTCGAGACAATGAGATCGTTCGTAGCCCGAATTCAAATCAGTACAAATAGACGATGGATTAAATGTCTGTATTAGATGCGGGACCATTTCCTGAATTGATGGCCGCTCTGATACTTCTGGGCGGGCCATCTTCGGAATTATTCAATTACAGCACTAAATTGAATAAGGTAATCTAAGCTTGGCAATATAAGACAAAATTGACCTGCTCGCTCGCGATAATTTACGAAGCGGACTTGTAACGTTCATCCGCGTCTAATAAAGCTACACAAAATGAAAATAAATTGTTTCAACGAAAATTTTTTCTACTTCTCAAGATGCAAGAGTGATCTAAATGCATACGCGCGACACACAAAGGACTGCCGTTGTTCTTTCGTCTCAGTACAATCATTGATTCGCAATTTCGCCGGCAACGTTCCCGCGAGCGTGACAATTTGCTGGCGCATCGGTTCGATGACGGGGGCCGCGCGTGTGCTGCGTCAGGTCGTCGATGCCGGGACGGGTGGATGGATGCACATTGGAGCTCTTCCTGGCCCCGTGTCTCTCTTCGTGTCCTT